CGGTGGAGTGCTTGGGTCAGGAGCTCAAGTTTCAACCCTATTATGAAAAGGTCTTGGGCCGGTGAATAATGGAATTGGGCTTATAAAAAAGTGGGGCCCAAAATTCATATGAGGTCTTAAAAAATTCTGGTGTTGAACCTGAAGTTATGAGTCTTTACTCGAAAGGGGCAACAAATGGGTCAAGCCCAAAACGACAACGGGGACGACCTTGGTGTGAACATTATCGGAAGTCAGGACAAAGAGGACACATGCTGATATTTACATGGGAAACCGACTAATTGGAAACCAAGATAAAACAATAAAAGCCGTGGATACCAAGCATCGTTCGATCATCAAACAGAAAAACCTGAAGTAGAAAACAACCAGTTTAATTCCGAACAGATAGAGCAAATCTACCAAATTGTCTCTAGTCTTCAAATACCTGGTCAAACTTCTACGAATGGTTTGTCAAGTTCCTTGGTGCACAGAGGTAATTTTTTCATAGCCCTAAAATCCACCGCTCAATCTCAAACTCCCTGGATTATTGACTCTGGAGCACTCGATCACATGACGACGGACTCTTATCACTTGTTTTCCTTATACTCACCATGTGCTGGTAATCTTACGGTTAAAATTGCAGATGAATCGCTTTCTTCGGTCACAGAAAAAGGGAGTATTCAAATTTCTAATTCTATAACTAGAATCGGTCCTTCATGTTCCAAATTTATCCAGTAATTTATTATCAATAAGCCAGCTGACAAAAAATTCAAACCGTTCTGCTAAATTCCTTCCATCTCATTGTGTTTTTCAGGACCAGTGCGAAGGAGTGTGAAGGACTCTACTATTTTGAAGAAACTGATGTGAGTAAACAACGTCAAATTACACTTTGAAATTCTACATTTGTCCCTAAAAATAGTGAAGTTATGTTATGGCATTTGAGAATGGGTAACCCAAATTTTCAATACTTGAAACGTATATTTCCTTCTATTTTTCCAATTAAAAATTCTGTTGATCTTTAATGTGAAATTTGTGAACTTGCAAAACATCAACGTGCATCATTCCTGAAATCCACGTACAAACCATCAAAGTCATTCACCATGATCCATGGTGATTTATGGGGACCCTCACGAACCCCGAACCATACTCATGCAAAATGGTTCGTTACATTTAATGACGATCACACTCAAATCTATTGGGTTTACGTGCTAAAAGAAAAATCCAACATTCAGCCTGTGTTTATCAATTTCCACTCTATGATTCAAATACAATTTCAAAAATAAAAAATCCAAATTCTCCGCACTGATAATGGCACAGAGTACTTCAATAAATTCATGGGGGACTTCCTTCAAACACATGGAATAATTCATCAAAGTTCGTGTGTCAACACTTCCTAATAAAATGGGATGGCCGAACGCAAAAATAGACATCTTCTAGAGGTAGCTCGTGCCTTGATGTTTACTGCAAACATTCTTAAAATATTATGGGGAGATGCTATCCTCATATCTACGTATCTAATCAATGAATGCCTAGTCGAACTCTAAATTTCGAAACACCCTTTCAAAAATTTCAAAAAATCTTCCCTACCTCTCTTAGCTCCAATTGGGTGCACTGCATTTGTTCATGTTTATCCTCACAGTAGCAAACTTGATCCAAGAGCCATAAAATGTGTTTTCATTTGATACTCTCCTACTCAAAAAGGCTATAAGTGCTATGATCCTTCCACAAATAAGATTTTTGTAAGCATGGACATCGCATTCTTTGAATCTACTCCTTCTTTCAAAAAGCCTCTCTTCAGATGGAGAAGTTGCATGAAGATAGGTTTTTTAATTGTGATCTTTCTCCTCCTGAACCTACCATAAACATCAAATCTATTACTTCACCTGGTTCTAATATGCCATTAACATGAGAAAACTTGAACTTAGGTGACGATAAAGGAAAGCAAAGTGATAAGGAGATACTAGTTTATTCAAGGAAGCTAAAATCAAAGTACAAAGAGAATCTCACACCCGAAGCACCCAGAGTTAGAACCGTTGATAGCTCCAGATCCTCGTCAACCACCAGAATTCTCTAATGTTAACCTACATATTGCTCTCAAAATACAAACTCGGTCATATACTCTCCTTCACATTTCAAAATTCATGTCTTATAATAATGCTCTATGTACAGGATTTCGTACTTTTATATCTCATCTTGACAGTATAGAAATTCCAAGAGATATTCAGGAAGCCTTGAAAATTCTGAAGTGGAGAGAAGCAGTATTGGAGGAAATGCGAGCACCGCAAAAAAATGATACTTGGAAAGTGATGGACTTACGAAAGGAAAGAAACCAATTGGTTGCAAATGGATATTTAACTTGAAATACAAAGCTGATGGGACAATAGAAAGGCATAAAGCTCGGTTGGTCGCAAAAGCTTACACACAGATTTACGGCATTGTTTACACAGAAACATTTGCATCAGTGGCAAAGTTGAATACAATTCGAGTGCTTCTATTGTTGTCAACCAATTTGGATTGGTCACTCCAGCAACTGGACATTAAAAATGCATTCTTGAATGGGGAGTTGGAAGAAGTCTTCGTGACACTACCGCCAGACTTTTGCAAAGTTAATGAAAAAAATCGAGTATGTAAACTAAAAAGATCTTTATATGGACTCAAACAATCACCAGGAGCATGGTTTGATAGATTCGCAAAAGTATTGAAAAGTCGAGGATATCACCAAGGACAGTCAGATCACGCTATGTTTCTCCAACAATTCGAAGATGGTACTTAAACGATTATAATCGTATATGTCGACGATATTATCCCAATGGATGATAATATAGTAGAGATGGAAAGACTAAAGAAGAGCCCAGCCACCGAATTTGAAGTGAAGGATTTGGGATCAATGCAATATTTCTTGGAAATGGAAGTTTCTAGATCAAAAAGAGGCGTCGGTATATCGCAATGAAAATATGTTCTCGACCTTCTTACCGAAACCGGCATGTTAGGATGTAAACCAAGCGATACCCCTGTGGATGTGGGAAAGAAAACTGAAGATGTAGGAAATCTAGTAGTAACTAACAGATATCAAAGACTAGTTGGAAAACTTATCTACCTATAACATACAGACCTGACATCGCATTAACGTAAGCCAACACATACATTCTCCAAAGAAAAGTCACCTAGAAGCTATCTACAAGATACTCAGATACCTCAAGGGCTCCTTGGGAAAACGACTACTCTCAAAAAAGGTGAAAGCAAAGAGGTTGAAGTCTTCATAGGTGAGCAACTACGGGTTATTGTACCTTTGTATGGGAAAATTTAGTAACGTTGAGAAGCAAGAAACAAAATGTCGTAGTTCAAGTAGTGCTGGGGCTGAGTTTAGAGTTGTTGTACAAAGAATATATGAAGGACCGTGGTTAAGAAATCTCCTAGAAGAATTGCATGTCACAATAAAGTTTCCAATCAAACTCTATTGTAATAATAAAACAGCAATCAATATTTCCCTTAATCCTGTTTAACACGATCGAACTAAACATGTAGAAATGGACTGGCACTTTATAACGGAAAAAGTTGAAGAATGAACTATTTGTATGACCTATGTCCCCTCACAAGAACAAACTACGGATGCCCTCACCAGAGGACTACCTAAACAGAAATTTGTTGATTTCATCTGGAAGTTGGATATGATCAACATTTACGATCCAACTTAACAGGGAGTGTTGAAACCCCGAATTGATTGAGAATAATCGATAAGGATTCCCCTTTCCATAGTTGATTGATTTGTTGCAGATTTGTAGAGATTGTAGGATAATTTTATTTCCTTTATTTCTTCGATCTTTGTACGTGCAAAATTCAAGAAATATAGAAGAAACGTTCTGACTTCAATCTTCTCTATATTTCTACAATGTCATTGATATATTCCCCTTGTTAAGCTTTCTCAAAAAGCTGATCAGACTAGAGAAGTCCCAGTTTTTCAAGAATGATGCTAGCTTGTTTCTTTCATTACCTATTTTTATTTTGATGTAATAGAAAGAACCAACATAAACTTGAAGCTCTTGGTCTAGCGGTCTTGTTTTCTAATTTTTTACATCTACATTTATGAGGATAAATTAGATATTATTTGGATGTATTTTTATTGCTTAATGAGGTGGTGATAGTGATGCATAAAGAAATCTTTCTCCTGCCTTTATTTTGTAGGCAATATACTCAAGCTTTTGGATCTTTCATCCGAAGATATGGTCTTGCTAACTACGTATGGAAAGTTGCAGCCTCCTCTTGGAAAGCATCGCTTGAAGGTTTTTTTTTTTAATATTTCTCAAGGAATTAGAATTTCCTTTTTTGATGTGGATGTAATTTTATATTGACTGCGTGGACAATCACATTTTCCCCCTGAAAATTAGAAGTTCCTAGTAATTCAGCTTATTTATGCCAGTTACAATTTGTTCTTACTTCCTTGCTGAAGTGTTAAGAAGACATCAACTCTCTAATCATCTTTGTGCGTTTTAAGAGATTTTTTCCATATTCAGTCTTTCTTTTCACTGCTACACCCACATCCATGCCCCAATATTTTTTTGGAACACTCATATCTAAATGTGAATGGTGGGTCTTTCAGATTATAGAGTTCATCTCAGTCTTGTTGACTGTTAGTAGCGAAGCTGCAGAAAAGGAATTGATTCGCCTTGGCTCTTTAAAAGGCATTATAGAATTATTTTTTGAGTGAGTTTCTTGCCTCACTCCAGCTTCTAATTTCTGTGGAAAAGAAAATTTTTGAATACTCTAATTTCACCTCGTGTTGATTTTAGGTATCCATACAATAACTTCTTACACCACCATGTCGAGAACATTATAGTATCTTCCTTAGAAAGCAAGAACGCACATTTTGTTGAACATCTTCTTCAAGAATGTAATCTTCTTGGGAAGATTCTTGAAGCAGAGAAGAATTTCACATTGGATGTTGATAAAAATAAGGTAATAGTCAACTCTCTTGAATAACTTGAGTTGCATTTTTGAATTTTTTCTACACCCATCTTTTCTTATACTTTCAGGATTATCATTTATTTGTTCTCATTCAACTTATATTGTGGTATTCTAAACATTGGCCAATAGTTGAGAATTATACAAGAATAATTTTGTTGAAATGTGTCTTGCAGCCAACCGTTCCTGCTGAGGGTAGAAGACCGCCCAGGATAGGGAATATTGGACACACGACACGCTTGGCTAACAAGCTTATCCAAGTAGGGAATGACAACAGAGACGTACAGACTTTTTTTCAGGTTTTCCACATCTTCATTTTTCTGTCAATGCTAACATCTATCAGTTTGTGTAGGAAGTTAATTAGTATGAAGCATCCTCACTACCTCATCATCCCGTAAAGAAAATAAATGTTTATTATAAATCACCCATTTATGGAATCTTTGACATAGTTCCATTTTTACCAACACTGACTGATAGTTGTATTTTAACTTTTTTTGTTTTAGGTCAATACAAGCTTATAGTTTTAATTCTGGAATTTGTGTGGCTCTAAGTAGTGCTCAATATTTATTTTTTAAGATATCTTAAGCTGATATGATTGTATTTGATGTTTGAGTGAACTCATAACTGCATGGGATAATTTCAACGACAATCTTGCAATGTAGCAAGATTTTATTACCTGAACTATTTGTGCCAGATTCTGTCTGATACTTTTTTGAGGCTTCTCTTGCAATTCCTCTTTGCCAGAAAAATAGTGAATGGGTTGATTGGTATTCAAATGTACTGCTGAAGCGCAATGCAGTGGAAAACGTTTTCCAGTGGGCATGCGGGTGAGTGTTTGAGTTTCAGCTATGACTTTTTTCCTTGGTGTCTGCAGCCGATTTGCCATTTTTATATCCTGAATGATGTGATATAGAGTGGTTGGTTTCCTTGTACACAGGTGTAAAAGGCTCACAGTTATATGTATTTGTGTTGTACACTCCATTCTGTCTTGTTTGCTTTTAGTAGTCTATGTTCCCTGTTAAGCTAGGGCATTTGCCCCATGCTAAGAAATAACTTTCAATCTTCAATCAAGCTTCATACAGCTGGTCTTAAAATGCAAGGTCCTATAACTTCTGTCATTTTGTCTGGGAAGAGCAAGTAGGAGTCTTGGATGGTGCGTGTCTATGAGAAACACTTGTAAGAAAACTGAAACGGTGGAAAAGTAAATCTAAGCCAGTTGTTTGGATATTGATGCCATTAAGACACATTTGAATATTTGGGACTGAAAAGGTTCTTTAGGACTTTTTATCCTTCATCATCTTCTCTGATGCTATCAACTAGCATTTAAATTCTTAGAAAATATGAATTTTGACAAAAGGAGGCGGCCTATTAAACAAATAATTGTATTCTGCTGAGGAAAGGTCTATCGAATTGTAATGGGTGAATAATACTTACTGTACTGGTGCCTTTTATATTTAATTCTAATTGTGCTTGATGTCAGTGCTAATAGTTGTAATTGCATTATCGATTCACTTGTAATGGCATCCCTGTATTGACTGACTTTTGCTTGCTGAAATTACCTAGAGTCCAGAATTTTTTGTGTAGACCTTAACTTTTCTTCTTAAGCCCTGTTTGATTAGGGGCATTTTCCATAGAAAATGGAAAAAGTTTTCCATTTCCCCAAGATTTCCTTGTTTGATGTGCAAAAAGTGACCAAGAAAACATTTTCCACAGATTCATCACGCGCCTGCTTTTCCTTGTTTTCAAGGAATTTGTTTTCTTTTGGTTTTGGTGGAAATTGATTTTCCACCTTTTTTTTATTCAATTGGAAAAAATTTTAGACACGATGGTAAAAAAATTTATCACTTTTATTGACAATTTTCATGCAAAACAAAGACAAACGAGTGGTATTCGGTATGATAATTTATTTTTTTTTGCAATTGGAACAAATTCTAGACCCAGTGGTAGAAAAATTATCATTTTCATGGACAATTTTCATAAAAAATAAAGTTAAACGGATACCAAATTTTCAACATTTTTCAGGTGTAAAATTATACCAATCAAACAAAATTAATTACAATTCCCAGTAAAACAATTTCTAGGCAATTCAATTCCCTGTAAAATATTTTCTTTCCATCCATTTCCACATTTGCAATCAAACGGACCCTTAGTTTTTGTTTTTATTGTAGACGTGTTTCTTTATATCCACTGTTGCAGGAGGCCTACAACACTACAAGATCGGACAAGAGACAGTGACGATGATGATTACCGAGATAGGGATTATGACGTTGCTACTTTGGCAAATAACTTGAGCCAGGTCTTTCGTTATGGAGTCTCTAAAAATGATGATATTGATGAGGTACTCTATTTGACATTATAAAGTATTCCATCTTTTTGTTATTTTCTATTTTATCCATGTGTGCATTTGTTATGGCAAACGTAAGAAATCAAATGTTCGGAGCATTAATGAATTTCGAAAACGGGACCTCATCGACTAAAATTTTGAGACGATGGAATTATCTGACGATAGTGGACTTTCTAATGCCCAATAGCTTGTTCTTTAGACATTTAGCACCTTTTGCTCTTTCTACTCACTGTTATATATTAACTTGTATCCATGGGATTTGGTACTTTTTAAGTTGTGTTAATGGTCGACTGCCGTGAGCTACGCTCACTTGATGGAGGTGAATATGATAATATAGCCGATGAATTATTGTTATAGATTCCCTTGATTCCAATTGGAATGTCTTGAATTGACCTTGCTCAATTATTTCGGTATGAGTTGAAAATATTGTGTTCTGTGCATTCATTTTATTAGTTGTGGTTATTGCATTAGTACAGTGTGTACTTAAACAACAGTCTCTGTTTGCTGTTTGCAGGTTCATGGTTCACTTGAGCGAGATTATGAGGTATACAGCTCTTGGTTTTGTGCCTTGGTTCATTATTTATTGTCTTCTCCTTGGGGTCATTTTAGATATTGTAGTTACATCTCGATTCCTATATGCTATTATTGAATTGTCTTTCTACTCTAAAAACTACAAGTCATGTTATGCATCTGTCATATGTACATGCAGCAAAGGAATCGTGTTCATCGTTCCAATGGATCACATTTCTCAAAGTGCCTTTTGTTTGTTGCACTAATCTGTTTGAAGACTTCCGGATAGCAGATAGGAATAACATGACTTGGGTGGGTCGGGGAGGAATAACATGGAGAAGATTTAGATAGAATGATGAAGTGGGCGATGAGAGAAAAGTAATTACAACATGCCAGCCAATGACACTTGGATCCCTTACTGTTTACTATAGGAAAAAAAACTATAATGAGTTGATGGCAATTACTTCATATTGTTGTTTGTCCTCTTTTCTATAAGGCTCTTGTTTGGGTGAAACAATTTTGATATAGTCCTAATATGACTCTTTGTAGGACGTGTACTTTGATGATGAATCTGCTGAAGAAGTCATTTCTTCCCTTCGATTGGGAGATGACCAGGATAGGTAGGTGGATATACTTGTTTGCTTTGATTTTCTTCTATATTTGTCTCAGAATGAGAAATGAAAGTTGCATGAACTTGCATCGGGCTCTTAGCTGTATAAAACTTATTTCCATGATTGTGTCCATAATCCATTCCATGTTTGTTGCTTGTACTGGTGCCTTTTGAAGTTGGCGTAGTTTGTTGGTCGATTGCCAACATATTGAAAAGCTATAATTTTTTGTGTTCATAACTTATTCCAAAGAGAGATTTTTGAATTTTTTTTTAAATGAAAAGACTGCATTTTGCAGCTTTAGTTATACTATTGAGTTGCGACTCTTCAAGAGCCACTAACTTAAATCAGTTGTTCTAATTTTTCTTTGATGTGGACACTGTCAATGAAGACTCAAACTATATAATCTACCCTCTGGATTTGGGCTTATCTTGAGTGCTTGCCTGTGGGCTATTATGACTTTGCCTTGATTATTTTCTAGTTGCTAGACACGTTTCTCTTTGCTGAAAAGAGAGATTATAGTAATTTATCTTAGCTGAGAAGACTGTATTTTGCAGCTTTAGTTATCCTAATTAAGTTGCGACTCTTCAAGAGAAACTAACTTAAATCGGTCGTTCTAATTTTTCTTTGATGTGTACACTGTAAATTAAGACTCTTAACTACACAGATACCCTCTGGATTTGGGCTCATCTTGAGTGCTTGCCTGTGAAGACTTTGCCTTTTAACTGATTATTCTCTAGTTGCTAGACACGTTTCTCTTCGTGTTTTGCAGTGGGTCGCTTTTGACAAATTCCGACTGGTTTGCATTTGAGGATGAAAGAATAGTTAATGAGCTTCCAACTGATCCAGTTCCTTCCCCTTCTTCCAACATTGAGGGGCTTGAGGTTGTCAATGGAGGAGCTGATGATGAAGTAAATGTCAATGAAGATGAAGATTTGGCAGGCACTGCTACATCTGAACAGCCTGAACTAAAACCAAGTTTAGCCGATCCTGCACCGAACAATCTATCTGAGAACTCAACAGAATCAGAAACAAGGGTTAGTGAGAAGCCACCCGAATGGGTTGAATGGAGGGTAGATTCAGATTTAGTTGAATTGTCTGATCCAACCTCGACTTTACCTCCAAATTCACCAGAATGTGAGCTTCATGTGGAATCTGACATTCAGCCTGATAATGCTGGCTCAGATAAAGCAGATGCTTCCCAGTCCTCTGTTACTGCATCCGTGGAGAATTGCAAGAGTGATGCTGGAGGAGGATCATCCTATTTAATAAAGATCGACTTAGGTGCCAAAATTTCTCAACCAGCAGAAGCAGGAGAAGGGATCTCGAGCACTGGACATGTGGATTCTCTTACTAGTACAGAAGGCTCATCTGGACATGTTACTGAATCCGAAGAGAAAAATTGACGCAGAAAATAAATCTAGATCCTTATGTCCAGAAGTAACGCTGTCCGAGGATTAACTATGTGGATGCTGATGCTGCTTGACTGATAGACGTAGTTCTTGAGTACCTCTCACCTTCCCATTTCATGCCCAAGTACAGCTGAGTCTGTAGCGTTCCTTTTTTTTTTCTTTTTTCTTTTTCTTGCTACTTAGCATATTACTAGGTGAATCGGAACTTACTCGACCTTGTTTATATCATTCCGCTATCCTTTTCCTTGTCCAAGTGGCTTTTAGTTTCACAAATGTTCTGCGCAAGTGTCGAAATGACCAATTTCCATTGATTAAAGCATCAGATGAGCTCGTTTGCTTTTCTTTAATGACACTGCTGANGCTCGTTTGCTTTTCTTTAATGACACTGCTGATTTGTTGAACAGAACAATTACGTGGTAGTTGATGTAAAATAAAACGAATAAATGTAATTTACACCAACTCTATGGCACCCTTGCAGACATGTTCCGTTGTTCGACGAGAATTACAGGGCTATCATACGTGATTTTGGACATGCCACAGCCTTACCCATAAACAAGACTCACCTAACGACATTGGTGGGAGGCACATTTGGTTATTTGGATCACGAATACTTCTATCTGGAGAACTTAATGATACAAGTGATGTTTATGCATTGACGCTCTTGCTGAACTCCTAACTAGAAAACGAGCTCTCTTCCAACATAGATCAAGGTCTAGTATTTTGTTTTCAATCAGCAATTAAAAAGAACTATTTGTTCGAAGTTTTGGAGAGGCAAATTGCAAGCCAAGGTCGCGAAGAAGAGATTCTTACAGTTGCTAAGCTTGCGAAAAAATGTCCAAAATTCAGTGTGCGAAAAAGGCCATTCATGAAGCGAGTGGCAGCTGAACTTGATAGGCGGCTTAGAAGGATAAACGAGGATTCAATATGGAAACCAACTTCTCGACTTGCTTCTTGTTCCCAAAATGAAACCTCTTTCAGTTACAAAAACAACACGGTTTCAGAGGATGATCAAGATATGCTATAGAAAATCAGCTTTAGTTATTCATGTGAATGGTGATTGATATTATTATATTCTCAGGTTCTACCTTCTTATAATAAATGCACAACTACAAATGACTAGAAAAATATAAAAGTTTACACGATCTCATTCTTGTAAACTATTGCAGCACAAGGAAATAGTTCAGTGTGTGAAAAGTTCACAAAGCTCCCTCGCCATTCATAGAGAATAAAAGAAAAAAAAATCTGAGATATGTCCAATGCCAGAGTGCCAGTCACTGAGGCAGTTCAAGGTCCGGTCTTCGATCGAGTGCTTCTACAGTAGAATCATCTGGAAAAGCATCTGGATAGGTCTCTAAGATCTTTGCCTTCATGCTCCTAGCAATTCATAACAAACATCATAATTTTATTGCACGTAATAATCTCCAAATTGAATGTTAGTTAGAAATCTGATACAAATAAGTTCAGGTGAAAGATGAAACTTGTTTCACCAGAAGTATAATAATACAGCTAGAGACAAGAACTTACCGGTTAAACGACAGCAGAAAGGAGATCATACCCAAATAAAACAGCTTCTATAAGATGACCGTTTCACTTAACTGTTATTTCTTACTCATATTTCAGTCAAATAAAATTAGTTGGTTGGATGCCGAAGTATAATTATTTTCTTTCTTCTCAGCATAAGACACAATACTAAAATGGTCTATCCATTTATTTGCATTTTATACTTGCATTTGTCCTGAGAAAGCCACGGATCCCTTGTCAATCAAGAAACTGAAAGAGCCAAAAAAAAAGAATCAAGGCAAATCCAAATGAATTCGAGTTTACTCGGTTTACAAGAAAAATATTTATTGGGGATTACCAAACCATACAGTAGCTCTGGGAGGATTCAAGAGCTAAGTTTACTTCGTTTGCAAGAAGGAAAAAAAAATTATGGGGATAAGCAAAGCATACAAGAACTCTGGGAAGACTTAGGGTTGGGGAGGACTAGTAAACTCCAACCGTAGGGGCAGCATAACATGGACTTTTGATTTTCAAGCAGACAGTGGTTTACTAAATGAGACTGGAACTCAAGAAGAGCTAGATCCAAAGAATTTATAGGAATAACCTAGACTTAACTTCTAATTCAATTACATTGTACCTCTGCACATGTGGCATGTCTATCAAAATTATGTTTGACGTCAATTATTTAATCAACATACGGTAAATGATGAATTGATACACGTCGTTCAATCATAGATTTAGAGATGTAAATGTATAGCTTGGTCACATGGCTGACATCATCCACCTAACCTTGGATGAAGGTTCATTGACTTCTAGTTCAGTCTTAAACGGGCTAAAGGGATTTTAATCCTATACTTGGACGTAGCAAACCAATCCCTCAAGAGTTCCCCAAGCCGCCTAATGGCCAAAGCACTATTGGAATTGTTGACATCCGACTTCCGAGGTCATTAAATACAGTTTGTTGTATACATAAGCTCATGCTAATGTAAGCTCGGTGTTGCGTTTTTTGTATTTCAAGTGTCCGATATCGTAACAAGTAGTAAATTGGACATTTGAGTCTGTATTATTGTTCCCACGAGGACTATACTTTAATCTTAATCTACTTTTTCTAACTCTTATTTGATGAAAGTAGACAAATAAAGTATGGTAAAAGTTGTGAAAATTATTTTTCTTTTATGAACTAACTACATAAAACTAATGGAAAGTATAAAAAGATTTCAAACACTGATTGAT